AGTGGGGAGTTAATCTTTCTTAGAAACCAATCAAAATACGTTGAATGAAGGCTATTCACCATAATTGATAAGTTACCAGGAGCGAAATGTATCAATGTGTTTTCTATATGGCGTGGGGGCATGCTTTTACAAAAAAAAAATCTCAAATTTGCAGAAAAAAAATTTCGCTTAATTTTATTTACCTTCAAGCTGTTCAAGTTATTCCTGCTCCAGGATTCTTAAAAAGCAGTCGGAACATTAAGGGATTCGACCTGATACGAGCAATCGTGTATTTCTTTTGGCTGATACATGTTGCCTTCGTTGTCTGGCGCTTATTTTGTATAAATGTCAATTGTCAATAGTATTTGTTAATTTATAAAAGTGTCAATTTTTGGGTAAAATTCTGAATCCGAGTTTCGCAAAATTTTTGAAGCAAATTTTGTCTTCATCAATCAAACACACCATTTTTTTAATTTAAAAACAAAATTTAAACGTTTTGCTTATTATTGATGACGGAGTAGTTTTGGCGTAATTTTTGGTTGAATACAAAAAAAATGGCCAGTTTTGGGATGAAATTTTGGACTGGATTTTTGCAAATTAAATTGCACCATACTGATTCGGTTTAAAATCTAAGCAAGTTTTGTCTAATAATTTTTGCCTAAAGTCAATTAAATTTGAAAAAAAAAACGCAATCTCAATTTCAAGTATTATTCTTTTTGTCCGGGTAATTAAAATCAGCACTGTACTGGGCTTTAATTGACTCAAATTGGCTAAATTAGCAATCTTTAAACCCCCATAATTTTACGAAAATTGATCGTAGGATAAAGTAAATATATATTTTTTTAAATTTAAGCTCAGGACAACAATACTTTTCGAATGATATTTGAAATTTCGTCAAATTTCGAAACTTATCAGGAGAAAATTTTACCCGAACTCACAAAATGGTTGAGTATGAGTGCATTGAGCGTTTAAAAACAATTTTGTCTTCAAATAGAGGTCATTTAGTCTCCAAATTTGACGCTTTTTATCGGAGCAACCTTCAATTCAGAAGCCCTAACATACAAAATAAAAGACATTAATTTACTCAAAACAATAGATCCTTTCACTGAAATTTTGTTAGCAAACTAAATTTTATTTCTTCATTTGTTACAAGATTTTTCCGGTAACTAATGAACTATTCAGAATTGTTATAATTGCTCAAAATTGTTCAAAAAATATTTTTATGTTGTTCAAAAAGATAACTGACTGAAAAAATCTGAAACAAAATTAAAGTTAGTCCCGCAGCGGTTCAATTTCATTTTTTATTGCTCGTTACAGATACTATTTGTCTTAGAGCCCGGAAGTTATTAAAATGGTGCAAAAAATACTATGCTTAAAAATTCGTACGAGTCAACAAAAAATTGTAAAAAGAATAAGGATAGCCGGTTGCTGTGCAAGTAGCACACAATGTTTCGACCATAATCATAAGAAAATAGAAAGAAGAGTTTTTAAATTCTCCTCAATTAGTGTCGTTTTTAGTGGACGGGGTGATTCGAGAACTATACGCCTAGAAACACCAGCGGATTTAGATATACGCCCCTCCCTCAGGTATTCGACCCTTGCCGACCCAAAAGGTCCCCCATTGTACTAACTTGAGATATCCATTTTCGGCTGACGGGTCCTTAAAAAGAAAAAAAAACAGGAAATTTAAAAAAATTAATAAAATTTTTGAACACAATTTCTAAACTTTTAAAAAACTTTTTGCCAAACAGGCGATGAAAGAAACATCCAAAACTGATTTTTTCTATGGTAAAATTGAGTTTTTTATCCTAAAAGTTAAAAAACAGTAAGTTTTCCAATAACAAGGGTTACTCGATTGCGTTACTTGCAAATATAGTTTCATCGTCAGGAGTTTGTGTTCGGAAACTCTTTCTTGCTGTTGAGATTAAAACTAAACTGTGTACGAACTAGTCTAATATGTACCATGCTAGGATTCTTTGAAGATCAATTTTTACTTTTTGTGTTTCTTCTTTATCGGTAAGTGTTTCACAAATTGAATCTAAAAATCGCAAAAAAAGGTTGATTTCTTGACTTACTACTGTATGTCGAAATTTTTGAGGTGGTGATAGAGGAAATATGATTTGTGAAAACTGAGTTTGCTCTTTGTGAGTTTTGATGTTGAATATTTTTAAAATATTAGTTGAAAACTTTTGAGAAACTTAGGCTTATGTCATCTGTTTGTTTTCTGTGTGGTGTTTGATTTGTTTGCAATTCCAAACTTTCAAGATAAAAAATTCCGTAATATGAAGTGATTTTAATTGATGTCTGGTAGATAGTGATCAAGTATTTGTCTTTTAATTTTTATTTCAGGAAATTTTTGTTTGCATGGGCTACTTCTTTTTTTGAAAAAATTTGCTATTAGATAATGGCAAAATTGTACTTGGCCTCAAGCGGGATCGCTTTAAGGGTGAATAACAATGGGAAGATTTGAATCATCGTCAAATTTTTTTTTTCGTATTGAATCATTTTTTGTGTTGTTTTACAGTTAATTTGTATCTTTCAATATGTCTTATTGGTTGACTCTAAATATAGAATCGTACCGGTTTACAAAGGTATGATTTTTTTATTTGCATTTAACTTTTATTGATGATGGTGTTGTCGAATCTGATTCCGAAAATTTTTTGTAATCGTTTGTTGGGTAGTTTTTATCCCTTTATAATTTGTAATTGTTTCGTTATAAATGCTTTTTTTCTCGTTTCTTTTTTCATTCTGATATATCCTAATTTTTGTCTAAGTGGTGTGAGTACAAGATCGTATCTTTCGTTTTGAAATAAACAATTGTGGAGTATGATTGCTTGTTTAGAAATCCAGGGGTTAGAATTTTTATTTCCTAAACTGTTAGTCCTTACGATTCCCGTGAGTTATCCTATCTTGGGGCATAGGTTGTCGAGGTTGACGGATTGGAGAGAAGGTATATCAATTCGTTAGAATGATGATTTACGTTTTCTGTGGCTAAGGTTTATTTTAGGGAAAACTTAAAAAACTTTTAATCTTAGGTATGGTTGTGATTTTGTGATCAAGGTTTGGAGTAGAGTAAATCAATCCACCAGGTTCAGGTATATTTAGAACTCAAGTAGATCGTTAGATACTATTATAGATTTTACTTAGTTTTTTGATGTGTTTTGGCCTGGGCCAGCTAATAGGAGGAGCTCAAGTAATGGATAAGTAACCGAAGTTCTTCGCCGTTTATCTCAATAAGAATGGTTAGTTTTTCAAAAACTTCTATTAGTCCTGCGTCAATGATAAGGGTTGGAGAGTGAATAGACGTTTGAGAGCGTTAGACACTTTTTATGAGGAGGTTGGGGGAACAGGATTCTAGTTTTCGAATGAAATAAAATTCGAAATGAAATTAAAATTTAAAGATTCAAGGATAGCGTTGACGATCTGGTTTAAAGCAAATTCAGTTTTATAAAGCAAGAATAAGTCTTGATAATATTTAAGCTTTAACTTCAAACTAATTAAAATGATAAAAAAAATTTAGAAAGAATTGACTTAAAGATTGAAAATTTAAATGACAATAATTTTTGAACAATTATGGTTATATTTTAGATGAGGAAACAAGGATGAAAGGATGGGTAAAAGCTGAAATGGTTAGGTCCCCTGAGAAGCAAGGAACTTGTGAATATAAACAAAACTAACTTCATTTTTATTACTAACTAATTTTTGTATTTTTTTTCAATAAAATTTATTGTTACAAGTTTGATGAAAGGAACGACTTGTGTATCTTTTTATTTGTCGTTATTATGGTTGTATAATATGTTTATACAACATCAAGAAGTTTGTAGCTTGAAAATGAATCTTTTTGCTCCAAATAATTTTTATTTCATGCTAGAGAATGAAAATCTACTGCATTGACAATTTTGAAGAGGAATAATTGTTGCAGTTTTTGTCGTTTCACGATATAAAAGCTTGGTGTTGTTCATTTTCTGACCTGTTTTTTGCCGTATCATTTGAAATATTTGTGTGGGCGTATTGAGACGTAGTGATATACTTATTAAGTTGTCTATGCTATCTAATATTTTGCAATCTTGCAATGTAGGTTTCGATTTTATTTCTAATTCTTTTTTGCTAAAGCTAAGCTGGTTAATAGGTCTTGTTTGAGACTTTTGGTCATACCAACTGAGTTACTTCCGTGAGTGGTCACTCATAAAGTAATTTCAGATAAGGTACACCATCGGTTCGTCACGCTATCTTATTTTCGGCCGGATAGATTCGTGCAACTTCTTAGTCTAATACCAATCTTAATCTTACTCTTTTATCTCCTAGTCTCAATAGATCTAGTGTATACTGGTATTTGTGGGCTAGATATCTGGAACTTGTTCCAAAGGAGAAAAATTGTCTTCTAACTTATATTCAAATTGTTCTTGTGCTGAAACTGCGAGTAGTTTCAGCACTACAAATAATTGTTAGTGTTAGTTATGGATCATGGTTGTTTGAAAAGAAAAAATTTATAGAGATAATTTTATCAATAATGTAATTGGTTATAAAAACTAGTTTTAAACTGGTTCCAATCGACATCGTTTGACCGATTCGACGTGGGTTGTGCGATTAATTTCAGCGGCGCATTGTACCCTATTCAACTGGCCCTAGTCTGATAAATACCCTCTTTTATCATACTGTAGTGTCTATGAGTTTTCTTGAATCTTAAGTGTACAACCCTTTGTCCAATAAACTTTTTCAAACAAAAGCATTACGAATTTCCTAGAAGAAATTTTCTCCTCATAAAACTCCTCAAATAGCTCTCTCCAACCTCTATGTAATTTAACTATGCTCCAAGTTTTTTTTTTTAAATGACATTGAGAAAATTAATACTTGATTCTAAATATGCCAAAATCTGTTTTTAATGGCTTGGAGCAATTTTTGAGCTGAACTAAAAACGCTTCATTTTTCTAATTCATCAAATTTTTGTCTCAAATTGGGTCAAATATGATTTTTGTTTTTGACCAAATAATTTTATCGTGTTTCTTGTTTTAAAATACCAGGCGTTTCGTCAGTTCGATCGGGACAACGACGGACTCATTAGTGCGTGGGAGCTGAAAAGAGTTCTAAGAGTGCTGGGTGAACAGGTGTCGGAGGAGAAGGCTGAGGAGATGATTGCAGAGGTACATATACGGTATCATCGAATTTTCTTAATCAATCCTTGTGGTTTATTTGAGGGGGCGACAAAAGGATGTTGACTAGATCCCACTTGTTATATTATTTATTTTTATAATGTTTATTTTTTAAATATCTGGAAGCTTTGATTGAAATTACTCATAGAGTCGTCAAAGTGAGTTAGGACCGATGGGTATAACTCATAGAGTAATTTCGGATAGGGTACACCGTCTGCTCGTCACGCTATCTTATTTTCGGCCGGATAGATTCGTGCAACTTCTTAGTCTAATACCGATCCTAATCTTACTCTTATACTATCTAGTCTCAGGTTGTTTAACTAGTCTCTGCTAGGCTCAATAGATCTAGGGTATACTGGTTTATTGCGGCTGCTGAAGTACTCGGGAGAGTTCAACTAATTTCTAAGTTAAATTCAAATCTCTCTGGTGCTGAAATTACAAGTAATTTCAGCACTTACAAATAAGTGGATTGTTAGTTAGATGGATCATGATTGGTTAATATTAAATACTTTACATTGGTAAAATATCTAATTTATCCAATCATAAAATGTAGTTTAGATCAGGTTCCACCCATCCGGGTTTTACAGAGTTTTTTAGAATAGTCTTTCTGCAATTCAAAAGATGGATGATGGACGTTGGTATTTGGCGAACATCTTATTTCTTCTGGGTTTTCTTATTAGAGAAGTCCCAGATTCAATCGTTGTGTCTTCTCAAGACAACGACTGGGTTTTCGCAACAAACTCAAATCTGATTTCAGAATGGTTGGCTATGTCAGGTTTTTCTGTTTCATTGGTGAGAACTTCTTTGTGTTTGACCTTGTCTGGGAATGGCGTGGAGATTGTGCGTGGAGGGGATGCCTGGTTACTCGGATCTGTACGTATACTTGAACATCGAGGTGGTCATTGGTCTAGTTCAATGAAGTCCTTTTCTGCGAAGTCAAGTCGTACTCTAAATCCTTTGAGTTGTGATTGTGGGCGGCATATTGATTGTAGTTGGCCATTCTTTCTCGAGTGTAGTAGGGTCGTTTTGTCTTTGGATGTTCGTCCTTGGTGTTGTATTCTGATCTATATATTGCATAATGTAATTTACATTTTATAAAACTTTTATTAGTTTAATATTTTTTAATTATGATTTTAGTTAGTTGTTTTCACAAAAGCTTTTTGTTTTAGTTCAGTTATTTTGAAGAGTTACTCACCCTTGAGTAGCTCTTATTAAAAATAGGAGTATGGTCACAAAGCGTGGATGTAGCGCGGTGGGTTAGGCCGGCTATAGAGCATGCTCAGGACGTCCTTCCTGGTGGGTTAGGCCAGGAGTGGGAGTATGATTGCATGCGGTTTTTGTGAGAGGTCCTGTTATGTGACAACGTTTTATGTTGGGTTTGTTGTGGTTTTTCTTGTGTTTTGTTGGTTGTTTCCTTTTTTCAAAAATCAAATTGTTTGTGGTATGGGTTTGTCTTTCGACTTTTTTGTGTTTTATTATTTCTTTCTTAGACTTTATAATAGTCTTCAAAAGAATAAATTATCCAGTTTTAAACTGGGTTAATCCGGTTTGGGTACCGTTGGTTTCCTTTTCTTAGTCATGCTGTTATGCTATGTGTTGTGGTGTTTAGTAAGCTGCATTGGTTAGTTTTGTTTAGTATATAATTCCTTTCCAACCGGGTTAAAGGAAAGTTTGAAACGTGTTATCTTGTGTTAGAGTTATCGAGTGTGAAAGGTTGAAACTGAAATTCATTATTTTAAACAATTCTTCGTGGGCGAGCTGTGCGAGTTTGGATAGAATTCTTGTGCGAGTGAATGAAAATATCAAAAGGTTAGTACTGCATTTGCTTCTTATTAATTTACTACATAGAATTTTTAATTTTACTGCTAGTTGTTGGGGAAAATTAAGTTACAAATTTTCATCATTATTAGATTTACTGCTTGTGGGGGAAAAATTTATAAATTCATTTACTGCATTGGTATTATAATTATTTAATTGTTGGTGCAAAAAATTAATAGGGTTTTAAACAGCTTGAAGAAGTTTTCAATTTTTATTTTCTTTTGTGAATTTTTCAGATGATCGAGGATAAAGGCTAAAATTCTAAAGAAAACATGGATAAAGAATGGTGAGTTTCTAATATGTAAATTAGTTAGTAATATGTATAATTCATACTTACCTGTTAGTCGTCGGGGAAGAAACCGTGGGGGAAGATGTCGTGGATGAGATCTGAAGTTGTTAGTAATTTGGCTAAAATGCGGATGATATTTTTAGTTTGAAGCAGTGGCCAAAGCAATTGAAGTGCCTTAATGGTGGTTAGTTCTTCAGTGCCAACTGCAAATTCATAAGGTGTGTTTTGGATTAGATTATATAATTTGTGGTTGAATTTAGTGTTATGGATGAATTCTAAAATGGGGATTTCTATAGGTTGTACAAACTCGTGTGGGATGAGGAAGGGTCGGGATTCTTCTGCGTTGAAGGTCTTGGTGATGGGACAAAAGATATACATTTGGGTTATGGGATCATAATTTCGAAGAATACCATGAAGGTTAGTATCTTTAATGCAATATGTGAAGTTAAGAAAGAATGGTGAGGTGTATTTGGAATTGATGAATTGAAAACGATGGTGGGGTTGTCTGGAGGGAGTGTGTAGGTCAAAGTGATTTTGGATGAAACGATAATAAGTATATGTGTGTGTTTGTTTAGTGCGCAACATAATATCGTGTGAGCAGTGCAAATCTCTTTCATGTGGTGCAAGGAAATGAAAGGTTAGTGAAAATATTTGGAAGCGTTCTTTAAAACTTTCGTAGGCTTGCGTGTCTGTTAGTGCTTCTGAAATAATGTGGTCAAACTTGCGATCGAAGATATTTAGTGTAAATACATATGGTGTTTTAATGAAAAATTTCTCGGTGATTTGTGGGTTAGCGAAGCGATCGTCGTCTAAGAATTGATCTTGGTTAGTTCTGATGATGTTATGATCGTAATATTCTAGTGTATATTCATTATCTCGGGGTGCAGTGTGTGTTTTTAGTGATTTTTTATATCCAATGTAAGTAAATTGTCTAGGTGTTAGTGTTGTAGTGAGTCGATATAGCATGTCCTTATTTCGTTCTATATCGATATGAGTGTTAGATAACGGTAAGAAAAGGGGATTTGTAAAATGATAATATGAGGTTCAAGGAAGGGTAGGCATTAAAACGTATTCGTCTACAAAGTTACGTGTCTCGTTGGTGTCATGAGGGGTGTTTAAGGTGTATTGTGGAAATGAGGGTAAGGTGATAGCTAAAAATTCTTTTGTATTAGTGTGTTGTGGATGGTTGATATATTCACGGGCTGTTCCTGGTTTCGCTGGGAAAGGATGGTTGGGGAACTTTCTTTTAAAAGTGCGGTAAGCTCTATTAGTGCTGAGTGAAGATTCAGTAGTTGTGGATGATGGTGCTAATGATTCAGTATAAATTGAAGAGGCTGTAGGGGTAGGAGGGTTGGATGAATCTATTGTGGATGAGATTTGGTTTATGGTTGGGATGTCAAGGTGATAGGGTTGTTGTTGTAGGGTAATGAAGTTATCTAGTTCTGGGGAGATTCGGGGGGTATCTGGAGAATGAGATGATTGGTCTGAGTGAAGTGAGGAATAGGTTGGAGTGACTTGGGAAGCATAAGAGGGTGTAGAATTGGATGGGTCAGGGTTATTTGGTAATATGGGTTGAAAAGGGGGTTGGGAAAAAATTGAGGGGTTGGTGGGAAAATTATTTGATGGAGATGGTTCAGAGTCGGCACATTCATCGGGGGTTTCAATATTCGGGTTATTGAGTTGTGAGATGGAGTATAAAACTGAGATGTGTGAATTAGTATCGGAATTCATGCCGGATGTTACATTACTGGATGGGAAATCGGGTGGCGGAAAAGCAAAAAGTGGTATTATTGGGATTGGAGTGGTGAGGTTGGTTGGGTGGGAATTTGATCGGTGTAGGGATCCAAGTTGTCGGCTCATCGTGGGCTAAAAAAATTATTATTATTTTGAGACTGAAAAGCGGTGGTATGGGGTTGCTCTATAATTTGTTCATAAGTATTTTCATCTTGTGAGTGGTGTGGCATTATATGTTGGATGGGGCTTTGTGATATGGTTGGTCTAAAATTATTATGTGTTATGGCTAAATTTCGAAAATTACGTGGGACTAGGGATAATGGATGGTTATGTGGTAGGGGTGGTAACTGTGGTGCTGTTGGTGTTGTGTCTGCATTGTTATGTTCTTCGTCGTATGTGTTCTGTCTTGTTGCTATTTTTGTGTTATATTCTTTTATTTGTGCGTCTAAAAGAATTTTGTTTATAGACGTAGAAAATATTCCAAAAAACCCTGCAAATAGTATGCGTGCTACACTTGCTTGTCTATTGACTTGTGTGTGTATAGCACATGTGTTATAGATTCCTTTTAAGAGTGAAAAAAGAAATCCAATAAAGTTAAACATTGCGTATAAAATAGTCAGTTTTTCTAAGATGTAGTAGGGCCATCCTAGAAAATCAAGAATTTCATTCTTAAGTGTAACAAAGCTAAAAATATTGATAGGTGATATATCTTGGGGACGGTATTTTTCACCGTTTAGATATATATAATCTTTAATGTCCTTAAAATATCCGCTATAGTCTTGCGTATAGATGTCTGCAAATCCTGCGGTTTCGGCAAGTTTGCGTAAGTTTTGGTCAATTGATTGTCTTTGTATTGTGTCCATTTGTGTTAATAATTCCTGGAATTGTTGTGTTCTAATGTGATGTTGAATATCTGATTTTGAGTATATTCCTATTGATTGTAAGTCTATATTTGGGTTTCGAGCGATAGCGCGAATGCTTTCTGGTGAAAATTTTTTGAGTGATTGCATTAATGTGGGATATGGGGTGAGAAGGTAATATTTATCTTCATCAGGGTTTAGTTGTACTACGTTGTGGCTATTTTCTGATCCACATGGAACTGCGGTATCCCAGAAATAGGTTCTTCGTGAAAGTGTGTCAACGAAATGTA